AAACAATCTGACGGTTCCTCAAATGGTTAAACAGAGGCACCATATGACCCAGTGGTCCCACTCCCAGATTTCTACCCAAGACAAACGAAAACACACATCCACACGAACATTTCATGTGAATGTTCATAGCAGCATCATTCCTAATAACCAAAAAGTAGAAACAACCCAAATGCCCAATGACTGAGGAATAGATAAAAAGATGTGGTAAATCCATACAATGGAATACTATGCAGCAATAAAGAAGGAATGAAGTATTAATGCATGTTACAACATGAATGGACCTTGACAACGTTATGCTAAGTGAAAGAAGCCAGACACAAAGAGGCCACATATTGCATGACTCCATTTATATGAAATGTCCAAAATAGACAAATTTCTAGAGACAGAAAGTAGATTAATGGTGGCCTAAGGCTGGGGCCATGGGGTAGGTAGACAGAAGATGAAATGGAGAGTGATTGCTAATGATATGGAGTTTCTTTTGAGGTGATGAAAATGTTTGAAAATTGATTGTGATGATCATTGCACAGCTGTGAATATACTAAAAATCACTGAACTGTACACTTTAAATGGGTCAATTGATGGCATGTAATTATATCTCAATAAAGTGGTTATAAAAATAACAACAGACGGTGGCCCAGTAGCATAGCAGTTAAGCTTGCATGCTCTGCTTCAGAGGGCCAGGCTTCATTGGTTCAGATCCTGGATGTGGACCTCCACACCACTCATCAAGCCGTGCTGTGGCAGCATCCCACACAGAAGAACTAGACGGACTTACAACTAGGATACACAACAATGTACTGACGCTTTGGGAAAGAAAGAAAAAAGAGGAAGATTGGCAACAGATGTTAGCTCTGGGCCAATCTTTCTCAGCAAAAAGCATACCTTTAAAAAATAAAATTAACAACAAAACACAGCCCCTGCTCCCAATGAGCCCTTTGTCTTGGCAGCCCTCTGCAATGACCAACTTGTCCTGGTTTGCCCGGGACTTTCCCAGTTTTAGCACCAAAAGTCCCACATCCAGGGAAACCCCTCAGCCCCAGACAAACCAGGATGGTCCGTCACCCTACTGGAATTCCTCCCCCCGACCCCAAGCAGGGACAGAAGACAGAGCAGATGCCCCACCTGCAGGTCCTGGTGCCCCAACACTCACAAGAGGAGGTAGGAGGGTGAGCAGGTCATTCTCTCAGGGCAGGGGCGGGGGTGGGGAGAGGGGACGACTCCTCCTGGAGCTGGACCTTGACTGACAGAGCTGACACTACAGGAGGGCAGTCACTTAGAGCAAGTTTATGGCCGGGGTGTAAAGCGCCACACCCCCTCAGCCCAGCTCTGCCTGGGAATCAGGCATAACTGTGGGCACAGGGCAGCTGGTCCCCACTCCGGGTCCTGATCGTTGAGCTCACACAATTACTCTATTCACACACTCTGCTCTGTCATCCCCTCCGCCCTTCCTGCAAGAGCTCCCCTCCCGCCCAAAGTGTTGCCAGCACTGCTCCAGGCCTCCAAGTGGCTCCGCCAGCAGCCTGGGCGGAAGGCTTTCCAGAGAGCAGATCTGAGACACTTAATGATGTAAAGCGTAATGATGCACTTGTAATCATCTCCCATTTTTACGATCCAATTTCAAATGTGGCAAATAGTCCAGCCTGGCCTGAGTGCCTCTAATTGCCGCTGGAGGCTGACAAGGAGGACAACTGGATGGTCCCATCAACTGGGAAATAGAGACAGGCCAGAGGTCAGGGTGTCCATCCCCACTTCCTGGCCCAGAACCCACTGGGATGGGACCACTTTTCCGAGGAGAGGTTGCTCTCCATCCGTCACCCTTCAGCAATCAGACTGTTTTCCCACCTGACCTCACATGGTCTTCTTACAGATATAGTTAATTCCCTCTACATAGGCTCTGGTACCATAGAGGACAGAGGACATTTATCGTGGGTCTGCTGTGCAAGAAATTATAACAGGCCTTTAAAAATAGTTCACAGTTTACTCTCCACACAGCAGCCAGGATTGTTTTCAAACGTAAGTCAAATCATGTCACACCCCTGCTCAAAACCCACCCGTGGCCTCCCAATACCCTTAGAACAGAAGCCTGAGCCCTCTCCATGGCTCTGCAGGACCTTGAGTGATCCGAGCCCTGGCAGCTCCTCCAGCCTCACGTCTGAGCACCTGCCCTCCCGCCCTCCGCTCCAGCCACCCTGACCTGCACGCTCTTCTTTGAACAGGAGGCAAGCTCTTGCTTCAAGGCCTTTGCACATGCTGCCTCTTTGACCCGGAATCTTGTTCCCCCAGGTATTCCCGTGTCTCTCTCCCCTACTTCCTTCAGGTCTTACTCAAACGTCACCTCCCTAAAGAGGGCTTCCCTGGCCATCCTATTAAATAAAATAGCACCCTTCCATTCCTCTCTGTCCCTTCACCCTGCTTTATTTTTCCTCGTTGCATTCATCATCATATTAAATATCCATTTGCTGTTTGTCTACAGCTCCCCCTCACAAGGTCCAGGAGAGCAGGAACACTGTCCTGTTTACTGCTGTATCTCCAGAACCTGGAATAACGCCTGACATGTGACAGGTGCTCCAGTAATATTTATTAAACGGCCACTGTCATTCACTCTCCTTTATATGGTGGTAAACCAACCTCCCTCCACTTCCCAGATGAGGAAACTGAGGCTCAGGAAGGTTATGTTACCGTCCAAAGTCATGTAACTGCTAAGTGGCAGATACGGAACACCAATCAAAATCTCTCTGAAGCTAAACCCCATGTTCTTTCAATTATTCCACGTTGCCTCATTTCGGAAACATAGTCTTTTGTGGAACTGTGTGGGCAGGGAGCCTAAAAAGGGAAGAGACCCTTCAAAGAAACAAGGAATCTGTCGCCCTCCACCACCCAGCCGAGGTTTTGTGACACTGAAGCCGGGGCAACACCAGCTAGAAATTCATCGATTCCAAAGGCAAGCACGCTCCGAGTGCAACATGAAGGCAATCCCATCCTAGGACTGAAGTTGCTGGTGGTTAGAAAAAGCTCCAGCAAATCTCAAGGTGGCAGCAATTATACCATTTAAGGCTTAAATCCTTTGGGGGAGAAGGCCGGAAAGTAACGGAGACATAAAGGAACCATTAATATAAACACCACAACCAAACAAAATCAATTCAGGGCCTAATAGGAAACTTCAAAGAAGTTCCAGAAAATGGATCAGCTATTTGTTATTACAGAGAGCAGCGAACATTGTGTGGGTGTGTCACGGGCGATTAAGAGCATCAGGAATATAAAGATCTCAGAGTCCACTAGACTAGAAATTAGCAAACTTTGTCTATAAAGGGCCAGATGGTAACTGTTTTAGGCTTGCGAGCTATCCCGTCTCTGCGACTACTCAGCTCCACAGTTGTAGCACACAAGCAGCCACAGAGGATGTGTAGACAACTAAGCATGGCCGTGTTCCAATAAAACTTTAGTCCCAAAAACAGGTGGAGGGCCACATTTGTCCGACAGGCTGTAGTTTGCCAAGTGCTGATCTGGAGCGATGTGCTTCTGTGACAAATGGAGAGATGAAATGACTGTCACAGCCAGTTATGAAAGAAGGAAAAGAGTTAAAAAGTCATTTGACAAATATTTATGGAGCAGGTATTACATATCAGGCTTTTTTTTTTTTTTTTTTTTTTGAGGAAGATTAGCCCTGAGCTAACACCTGCTGCCAATCCTCCTCTTTTTGCTGAGGAAGACTGGCCCTGAGCTCACATCCATGGCCATCTTCCTCTACTTTGTATGTGGGACGCCTACCACAGCATGGCTTGCCAAGCGGCGCCATGTCCGCACCCGGGATCCAAACCAGCAATCCCCAGGCTGCCAGAAGCGACACGTGTGCGCTTAACTGCTGCACCACTGGGCCAGCCCACAGGCTATTTTAAACACAGGAGAGGCAAAGATGAAGAAAATAGAAGAGATCCGGCTCTCCCAGACCTCGCATTCCAATACAGGTAGCAGACAGGAAAACAAATAAATGATTGAGATCATGTCAGACAGGTTCAAGTGCTGTGAATGCAATGAAAAAGGATAATGTCTCCAGAGGCGGCTTTGGGGGTGGGGATATGTGAGGGAGGGGCAATTAAATTGGTTGTCAAGGAAGACAGTTGAGCCCAAAGCTAAACGACAATAAATTGCCTTCCATGGAAAGATCACATCTATTAAGCACCTCTTGACACAAACACTCATTTAATCTTCGTCACCGTCATTACAGATGGGAAACTGAGGCTAGCAGCACCGACAATCTTGCTCCTGGAGTGACTCAGAAGGATTTCCAAGCCAGGCCTGTCTGGCTCCACAGGATTTCTTCCACAGCAGCGTCTCTCTGCCATTTCATACTAAAACGACTTAGGAAGCCCCTCGGGAATTGAAAGCATCTCAGTGTAACATGTTTAGTTTGGGGCCCAAATGTGTATTAAAACGCAGATTAAATTCAAACTCGGTATTACAGCATCCAAAACCGCTTCGATGACCTGATGCTTGAAATCACCACATTTTGCACTTTAAAAATTAAACTGGCTTCTTTTTTTTTTAATTTGTCATATTTTGTTTCTAAACAAACTAGGAGAGGTTTCAGGCCGCTCCTTTCCAGCATCTGTCTGCAAACAAAAGCTTCATGAATAATATTTATTCCCAACAAATGAAAAGCCGAAATGAAATGCATTTCTCTTTTTAATATTGGTTTTTGAAGTACCAGAAGCGACTCAGAGCGCTACAGCAGAATTTTGAGCAGCTAAGAGCAGCTCGCTGATTTGATCGAGATGACTATGAGGCCAATAATCCTTGCTTCTTTTTGAATTCCAACACGAGTGTTCCTTATGCTTTCTGTCTTCGACCAGCGGTTTCTTAGGAGTAAAAATTAAACAAAATACAAATGATGGCAGGAAAGGTTTGATCCACTTGGAGTGTTCACGCCCAGCAGAGCAGGGAGCAGTGTTCGGCGGAAGGACAGCCCACTGCGCATGCTCGCTCCATACGTACCTCGCGCTCCAACTGTTCCTTCCAGAGAAACAAGAATGTCCTAATCATCGTTCTGTTCGTTGACTGTTGGGAGCCAGAAATGGAGACTGGGACCGTTAATGCCCCTGGTGAAAATGCCCAGTCCCATCGCTCATGCCCAGGGTGAGGAGAGTGAGGCTCTTAGGGGGGCAAATCGGAAGGGGGCCCCCTCTTCTGCGCCCACCCTGCACTTGCACCGTCCCAAGACGGGGGCCTCCTTCCGTTTGGCACCCTACCTGCCTCACTCACCCACCAATCCCTAGACCTGGCCCTGTCTCACTCACTCACACACACACACACACACACAACACACACACAGAGCAACTCAACCTTTCCATAAATCACCAGTTAGGAAACACTGCACCCCACCTACTAACTCCCCAAACCTCCCAAACCAGAGCCCAATGTAACCGACTGGGCCTGCAGTGGTGGGCTGTGCAAATGTGCGGTGGTGCTTCCCAGCTTTCATCTCCTCGTGCTCCTCACCTCCATCTGCGTCTCTCTGTTGGGTCTAATGTATCTGTTTTTATAACACCTTGGCTTGTAACAAAAACTTTTTTTTTTTCCATGAAATTCGCTCTTTTTTCTTTTTTTTTTTCAGGAAGAAAAGGACTTTAGGAGCACAGCACAAAACAACAGACATCACTGTTGCTGAACTCCCCCAGTGAACACACGCAGTTTTTAAATTGTGGAGCTCTTGAACCAGAAGCATTCCCAGAGGTCCTCTTGTCCAGGTGCCGACCCTAACCAGTCATTGCTGTGCAGTGACATCCCCAGGCTGAGCACAGGAAGCCTGCAGACAGAGCTTGGACAACCCTAATTACAGGATATTGGCAAGTGTGTGTCACTCTAACATGCAGGAGCTAATATCTGCCCTGTATACTTCCCAGGGGGTCAGGAAGACCCAAATAAAATAATTTACACAAAGCACTTTTTAAAAAAAGTCCTGAGCATTATAAAATGAAAGAAGTAATTTAAAATTTCTAGGAGTAGTGAAACTTTAGAAGCCCTTCATTACTATCTCAGCATATAGTCAACTTCATGGGGAAAATTTATCCTTCCTTCTAATTACCTTCTACTGCACATCTTATTTGTCTTCTGGAATTAGATCAAATCATATTCAAATCCTGATGCCACCATTATTAGCTGTGTAACCCTAGACAAGTCACCTAACCTCTCTGATGACCCATCTCCCTATCTGTAAAATGAGAATGCGTTATCTACCTCAAAGGCCCGTTATAAGAGCTGAATGAAACAGTAGATATAAAGCACATGGCACATTGTATGCCTCAAGAAATGGTATTGTTAAGAAATAGTTTTATTACACAAACAGAACTTCAGAGTTACGAAAGGTCCATTTCATCCTCTTGTTCTTCTCCAGAATCAACACTGCTGTTGCCTCTAACTATTCCCAATTCTCTAATCCCTGTTTTTCAAACTAGTAATTCTTGAGCTCTTTGGGGTTCTTAGCCTTCCTGAGAATCCACTGAAAATTTCACACCCTCTTCCTCAAAAAGTTCACCAGCAAACTTTTGTGCACAATTTCAAGAGGTTTAAGAACTTTCTCAAGCCCATCCACATGCCCCCCAGAGAGTCCATGGGCCCCAGTTGGGCACCTCCCTTTGGAGAATTCCCCTGCTGTCCCCCACCACCCCATAGCAGTACCCCGAAACAGCCCTTTCTGGTGGGCTCAGGTTTCTGAGAGGAGCCTGCCGGCCCTGAGGTGACTTCTGGTGCAAATTACCGGCAGGTCCAGGGATCTCGAGGAGCTGGGGTTTGGGCAGAAATAATCAAGCTGAGGAGAAAGGCACCTCAGCACAGCCTGAGTCTGGCAGAACAAAGGCCCAATTAGCAACCTCCAACTTTCAAAATGTCAGGCGCAGTTTGTTGGAAATCCTTCTCAGCTAAGAGGCATTAACACCACCAAAGGGAGAAAGCTGAGTCAGGGGCGGGAGATGCTGAGGCTGGCCGGGGAGGCATCCAGGGGCTCACAAGGACAGGTGTCCCTTGACAATGTCGCAAAGACCCCAATGGGTAGGTCTGGGAACTCACACACCAATGTCCCTCCTTGATGGTAAGATCCACATCCCTATCACACACAAAGAGGCTGTTGGGAGCAGGCTTTTACCACCTCCAGCCATGACCACAGTGAATCGGATCCATTTGGAGACACTGGTTAGCCATATTGTGAGTTCACACAGGGGTCCAGCTGAAGGGTCCCCTAGAACCACTCGGGAGAGGTGTCTGAAGTCAGACAGATGCCTGGCTTGGCATCCAGCTCCTCCACTGCTTCATTAACAGACCTCGAGGGGCCACTGCACCTTTCTGAGCCAAGCGTCCTCGTCCATAAAAGGTGGACAATTCCCATCTCTTGGGGTTGAGTTGAGCAGTAATTGAGGTGATATCTGTAAAGAGCCTGGAATCTAGTAAGCCCTCAGTGAACGGCATCTGGAATACTGCAGTCTCACTGAGGTATTACTAGCGTCACCCATGGGAAAAGGGATTGCACCAATATTCTCATTTACTAAATGTGTTAAAAGACTATGGTGTGTAGTTGCAATGGCAGTAAGATGAACGCAGGACTGAAGGGAGAAGAGCCCATTTCCAGGCAACTGGTCTCTCCATTTACTACCATTTGTGATGCTATCTATTCCTGTGGCCCCTAAGGGACTCCCTCTCGCAAGGAGTATTTAGTGCAGTTACTCTGTGGTTGAGAGAATACAACTGCTTTTGGGGGAGAACTTCTATGCTTACACTTTTTGTTCATCCAGACTGACCTCTGCCGTAGTTAATCCTAATTAGTGAGATTTGTCTACAAGGAAAGAAAACCCAATTGACTGACTGTCTGTGAGCTAGAAGCTTTCACAGCTATTTTATTTAAGCTGCACAAGCCTGCTAGGTAGGTATTCTTATCCTCACCATAAGATGAGACAGTTGAGCTTAAGAGAGGTCCAGGGACACTCTTTTGGTTTGAGATCGCAAATAGACCTCTGGGATTTCGATGCAAGTCACGAGGATGCTCCATTCAGCAAACTGCCTTAATCTGTTTTCCTCAAAAGGCGACTTCAACCTCCAAAGCCCTAGTAACAGCTGGAGGGAGCTCAGGCCCACTCAGAGCAGCTGTGTGAGGGGCCTGAGGAGGAAGGAAGAGGCGGACCCCCCTCTAGCTCAGTGGTCCTGTTAAAGAGAAAAGGCACTGGACACAAATTAAACACGGCAAGGAAGACCTCACTCAAGACTGTCGCAATAGGGGAGGAGACTGAACCCAAATCTGAAGATGACAGGGGCAGCTGGAGCTTTATAGCCAGCAGACAGAGTGAAAGAGAGGACGGAACGCGACTAAGAGGAACGTGGTGAGGTATCAAGGTTAGGGGTGGGGAGGTGGGGGCGGAGAGGGACTTGATTGGATATCAAAGGTGGGGGAATGAGGAGCTTGACTGGATATCAAGGGTAGGAGGATTGTCCCTGAACTGGTCCAGCAGGCCAAGAACAGAGCCAAGGACAGGGCCTGGTCGAAAGAAGAGCTCAGAGGAGCCTGACCAAAGTTTGGTTGAGGAACGAGTCCTTGTCAGTTTAGTGTGATAGACTGCAAAAATGGCCGTAGTACTCTACCCCTTTCTGTCCTGCGCCTTTTGTAATGTGACTCTCCAGCAATTCCTATCAGGAGGTGGAATCCGTTGCCCCATCCTTTGAATCTGGTCTGGTCTTATGACTTGCTTCAGCCAATAGGAAATGGTGGAAGCAACATGGTGCCCATCCTGAGCCTAGACCTCTCCCTCTCTCTCACTCTTTCTCTCTCTCCCTCCCCGCTGCTAAGCTAGCTGCCACATAAAGAAGACTATGCTAGCTTTATGGATGGAAAAAGAAGCATGGCCTAGTCCCAGACCCCCCACTTGCTCCAGCAACATCCCCCAGAAGCAGAGCCACCCTTCTGATTTGTGGCTGATCGAAGATGCATGAATGAGCCCAGCAGCAACCAGAGGACCTGCCTAGCAGATCCCAGCCCAAAACACTAACCTATAGGATCATGAGCCAAATAAATGGTTATTGTTTTAAGCCGCTAAGTTTTGGGACTGTTTGTGAGGAGGTGATAGATAGTTGATACGATTTCAAACATGTCCACAAACTAGAATCATTTGAGGAACTTTAAAAAATCTTGATGCCTGGGTCTTTCCCCTTCTCCCTGCTTAACTTCTCATTTGTTTAGCCTAGCGTGCAATCTCAGCATCAGGAGTCTTAAGGATCCTTAAGCAATTCCACTGTGCAGCCGAGATTGAGCATCACTGCCCCAGCTCTCCTGGCCCAGGCCATCCTGATGCAGCTCAGCTGGACTCTCCAGATGTGAGGAGGCAAGGTGGGAGGAACCCAGGTCACTTACGACTTGGGCTCTCACGAGATACAAGGGTCTGTGAATCAGAGGCAGTGCTTCTCAGACTTTACTGTACATGTTCATCACCAAGGCTCCTGTTAAAATGAAGATTCTGATTCAGTGGCTCTGGGATAGAGCCTGAGATTCCGCATTTCTAACACACTTCCGGGTGATGCTCGTGCTGCCATCTGTGGACCATACTTCAGTTGGTCTGTGAGATCTTCCTCGGGCTCTGACTCACTCCTTCCTGGCAGCTCTTCAGAGGCCTGGCAGCCACCTCTGAGCTGAACTTTCTCACAAGACTGTTGTGGCCTGAGAACAAGCTCCAAATAGTGAGATTCAAGGCGGGCTGTGTAGTTCAGGCCCGAGGGCTCCTGTTGGCTTTTTCAGACTCCCATGGAATCAATTCTGGGACAGGGGCCTCTGTCAAATCCAAAGAAGGACACTATATTCCTTTGTTAGGGCCGCCATAACAAAGTACCACAATTGGGGGTTAAACAACAGGAATGTATTTCCTCAGTTCTGGAGGCCGGAAGTCCGAGACTGAGGTATCAGCTGGGTTGGTTTTTTCTGAGGCCTCTCTTCTCGGCTTGCAGGTAGATCTTTCTTGCTGTAACCTCACACGGTCCTTCCTCCGTACGTATCTGTGTCCTACTCTCCTCTTCTCATAAGGACACCAGTCGTAGTAGATTGGGGCCCACACTCGTGACCTCATTTTAACTTATTCACTCTTTAAAGACCCGATCACCAAATACAGTCACATTCTGGGGGTTAGGATTTCAACATATGAATTTTGAGGGACGTAATTCAGCCCATAAGAGGCACCCACTTTTCTCTTCCCTCCTGTGTGGAATCAGCAACATGACCATCACTGGCTGGCCGCAGTCCCACCCAGCAGAGGCTGGGATGGGAGACAGGCGCAGGGCTGGGAAGCTCTTTCCAGGGCAGAAGGACAAGCACAACAAAGCCATGTTGGAAAGTGGGCATAGGCTGGTGTGGCCAGAGCGTACATTGAATACCTGTGTAAAAGTGGTATTTTCTCTCCAGAGCAACCACACCATAGCATGGATCCATAGTACAAAAACCCATGTCTAAGCAAACCAAATTCCTGCAGCAAAACTTGATCTGGACTGGGAAAATGGTCAAGGGATGATCAGAAAACACCCAAGACCATGCCAGGAAACCACACGTTCCTGCAATCAAAATGGAACAGGACTCCTGAGATTAAAATGCTGCCAAAGCTTGGAGATGAGAGTGGGGAGCTTCCCTGGGCATCGGTGCAGCGCCTGGTGCTCTGTCTTCTTAACCTCTCACTAACCTAGTTAACCTCTCTGAGATAGGTTTCTTCCTTTGTAACATGAGGTTAATGCCACCTCCCTCATAGGATTCGGCAAAGATTAAATCGTAAGATGTATGTGACTAGAAGTAGATTTATCAATGTGTAAATGTAGCAATATTCCCAGTCTCCATCCTTCTTTCCCCACCTCCTCACCCCTCACCCCACCCCATCCTGCCTTGGAGAATTTTGCTCAGCTCTTCTTCACCCCACTCTTTCAGGAGAGTTCCATTGCTGCCCACTTGTTGTCTGGCTTTCTGCAGTGCAATTCGGAAGAAGGGAAGGACAGAGAGAGAGACAGCTCTATAGAGGTGGAAGGCAGGAAGACGGTTCTTGCCTGTTGGGTCAGCCCCAGGACTGTCTTTGGGCATGGAGAACCTGCATCATGGGCAAGCAGAGGAGAAACTAAACCTGATGTGAGAGAGAGAAAATCTACCTGCCTGGTAAGGATCCCAGGCGAGAGAGGCAAGGGAGGAAAAAGCAGCAGGGAAAACACTGAAGCAGCAGGGAGCATTCTGGAGTACCTGCCAGGTGGGAGCTTCCGAAGAAAGCGCCAGAGTGTGGGAGATTGGGAAGGAAAGGGAACTTGGAGAGATTTCACTGTGCTGCTTGATTCAGTCATCTTAATGCTCTTTGAGAGATTCCAGTAAAGATTAGGATTCCTGTTTAATTACTTTTGGCTGCAGAAGTTGCTTCCTAAAACATGACTCAGTGTCGAGACTGGTGAACATGAGGCCCGGGGTTTTATACAGGGGAGATGTATCTATATCTGTAACCATAGCCATAGCCATAGCTATATTTTTCTGATCTCCTTTGCATAGTTTCTGCCACTTAGTAGCTACTAAACAAATGATAGCTTATAATTATTATTATTAGCCACTTGCCTTCCACTCTGGGGCCAAAATCCACATCCCTCTGAGAAATGACTTGATGTTTTGGAAGTCTCCCATCCCCTGTCTCTCCAGTCCTCATCTCCCTCAAGATTCACCTGTAGGAAGTTTGTTTTGGGATGACTGGAAGAAAGACAGTCGTGGCTGGTTACCACGTGTCTCAGCCTGCTGAAGAAACCAGACGGCAGGTTCCACACCAGGGACCAGGGACTCCAAGACACCAGTTCTGTCTACCCTAGCAGCTCTGAACGATACACTCCTGGGGACAGCAGAGCCCTTGCAGAATCTACAAATCCAAAGGCACTCCAAGCATTGCCGGCGGGCTGAAAAAATATATTACCACATACACCAGCTATTTTTGAAATGGATGTACTGCTACTGGAATCCCAGTACTTTCTATTTTGTATCTTCTTCATAAATATATACTTTCACACAATTTCAATCGTGGAAAGAGAAGACCCTAATTTTTTTTTCCAACGTAAAGAGGGTTCTTTTAAAGAAAACATGTTAGCAATCTCCAATATAAAGTCCCTTAGGGCGGGAGTTCTTCCGTCTCTCGGTTCTAGAACTCTCCAGCCCTCACCTGGCAAATAGCGATTGAGTTTTGTTCTGTGCGTTGTTTAATATCAAGCGTCTCTCAAGAGACTCACAGCCCCTTGAGGCCAAGTGAGACAGTGAGACAGTGATGGCCTGAGGGAAGGAAACAGCCCTCACTGCATCTCTGGGCCCTTCCTCCGGGCTGGCTTACTTCTAGGTCCAGCTCTGCCATTAACTAACCTCAGTATCACCTTGGCCAACTCATCCTCCACTCAAGGTCTCAGTCTCCCCAGCTGAACAGTGAGGGGGGCTCATTAGATGGGCTCAGAAGTCCTTCCAGTGTTGAGCTTCTAGTCAGCTAAGCATGGGCGAGCATGTGGAGGACAGGGCACTTTTCCAGCCTTGAGCTTGCAAGGAAAACACCCTCAGAGCAAAGTGTGGTCAAATGCAGAACAGAGCCCCAGCCCTGACATGGGACGTGTGTACTGAGGGGTGAGAATGAGGGAGCAGAGAGTATGGGGTGGTATTAAGCAAAGAGGGCTTCCTGGGGGAAATGCCCTGGGCCTTAGAGCAATTGTTTGCTGAGGAGCATGACAGAGAACACGCTGTGCCAGACAGGCTTAGACTACACATGACGTACGTGAGGTTTTTAAGTTTTCACCCCAAAAGCCACATTATAAAGAATTCCTCTTTCTTTTGCCATTATGCAAATCATCTTGGTATCGATTGATTGCATTTGCATGTGAAGAGGGATGCTGGGTTTGTAACTAATGTATTTGCATGTTCATTTTAATTAATCCACTTGCAGGAGGAGGATGATTAGAGAGGCAGGTATGGAAATATGACACTCTCCTGCTAATAAAATCTGGCACCTCCGGAGGCTGGAGGCCAAATGCGGTCTGACAGGTGGGATTATTGCAGGCGAAGTCGCAGCCCCTCCTGAGGTACCTGTCAAAGATTCACACTGGCTGCCACCTGAGGCCACTCACTGTCTGGCCCAGCCTGCAGAGGGTCGGTGGGTGGAGCACTGAGGAAAGCAGGCGAGCTCTTGGATGGATAGATTCTGATGGCCCACCCCAGAGGAGAAGAGGTGGAGAAGAGCTCCTTTCTCTTTACACCATTGTGTTTTTGCTTCCATGTGGCTCAGCAGAAGCCATCAAAAAGCTATCTCGTTATTGTCTGTGTGCTGGGAATAGGCTTGTCTAGTCAAAAGAAAGCCTCATGGCTGTTTAACTATCTCTTTTGCTCTTTGCTCTTTGAAGCTAGAGTTAATATTATGCCTAATTTGCATCCAACATTTAAATTTACTCATTAAACTCTAAAAGCCACAGCACCTCTTGACAGCCCAGTCTCTGATAAAGACTGCAATCCTTTCAGAAGAACCTGTCCCTTTTCAAAGAACATAACTTCCTAAAACACATTTTACCCAAATACAAGGTTTTGTGCATAAAGGAATCAGATGACTTCTTTCCTGGCTGTCCCCAGGGAGATGTAGGGAGAGGGCGCAGAGGTGGGGGAGCCCTGAGACCGAGGGTGGGTTCCCAGAGTCCCGGCCGCCTTCACTAACTGGTGTGGAAATAAGATCTCAAACTCAGAATGTTAAATGGTTTTTGTTCGTTTGCTTGATTTTGTTTTTTATCATTTACTCCAGATCTGCATGCAGAAAGAAATGAGGAAGACTGACCACCAGCTTGAAGCCAGGGACCAAGCCTCAGTTCTTAAGGCCTCGGCTGCACGAGTTCCGTTCATCCCCGAGGACCACCTAGGATTTCCCACGTGTGTGCTTTCCCAGGAATTATTTTGGGCTCAACAGGGGAGCCAGGTCTTATACTCCAAGCAAGCAAACTCCAAAAGATTGGTAATAGACATTTGATACAGCTATCGTGATAGTAAACAAGGCAAAGTATATATTTGAAAAGAGAGTCAAGTCTTTTTTAAAACAAGGAGTCATCTTAAGATACAAAAAATACAACTAAAAGGAGATTCAGAGATGATAGATAGATACATCCATAGATACACAGATAGATAGATACACAGATAAATACACAGATAGATAGATAGACACATAGATGGATACACAGACAGATAGACAGACACATAGATAGATGATTGGAAAAGAAAGAAGATCATAGTATTCGTTCAGGAGAACAAAGAGGGCGTTTGACATTGAGAGAATAAGACATTACGGTATTGGTTTCTTGAGTATGTAACATTTACTTGAGTCCTGGCTGGAGAATCCAACGCTCTGTCCTTAGTTCTCATCTCTGCTCAACCCACACTGCATCCCTTGGGCGCCTCTCTCATCCTCCCATCTTTAAATCCCATCTCAATGCTGACTCCCAAATGTATGTCTCAGCCCAGCTCACCCTTCTGGGCTCCAGACTCACATAGCCAGCTGCCTTCTAACTTCTCTGCCTGGGTATCTAATAGGCCCCTCAAAGGTAGCAGGAACTCCTGATCTTGCCCCACAAACCTGCTCCAGGCCCACAGTCTTCCACATCTTATGCTTCCAATTGATCGGGCCAAAAACTTTGGTATCACCCTTCACTCCCCTCATTCTGTCATTCTCCACATCCAACCTATCATGAAATCCTGTAGGTTTCAGCTTCAAAACACCTCCAGAATCCAGCCACGCCTCACCAATTCCACTGCGCGCACCCTGGGCCAAGCCCCCATCGTCTCTCACTTGCATTACTGCAGACACTCCAGCTGGCTTCGCTGTTTCCTCCCGTGCTCCTGTAGAGAATCGTCTCAGCAGAGCACCTGGAGTAGTCCTGTTAAAATGTCAGTCGGAGTATATCACCCTTCTGCTCCAAGCCCTCCAACTGGCCCCTATTCCTCTCAGAGAAAATCCTGAATCCTTACAATGGCTTCCTGAGCCCCGCCTGATCTGCACCCACTTCCCACTCCCTGCTGTCCCCTAACCTGGTGCTTCTCCCCCCATTTCTCACTCTGCTCCGGCCCTACAGGCTCCTTGCTGCCCCTCAGACACACGAGGCCCATTCCTACCCCAGGGACTTTGTACTGGTTCATCCCTCTGCCAGGAATGCTCTGCCCTGTGTGCACCAGGCTCATGCCCTCAGCTCCTTCATGTCCTTGCTTAAATGTCGCCTTCTCATTGAGACCCGCCTTGACCACTCCACTTAAATTGCAGCCCCCACCCCTGCCAGCACCCCAGCTCCCCCCTACTCTGCTTTTGTCTACCGTCTGCCTCCCACTCCCACTGGAATGTCCACTCCACAAGGCAGAAATTATCATCCATGATTCCCTGCACCTGGAGCCACTCTTGATATGCAGTAGGCACCCAAAAAACATATGGGGGGGTGAATAAATGGGTACTTCAGTGGGCCAGGCAATGCCCTAAGTGTTTTAAATACAGTTTTGTATTTAATATCTCTATCCCCATTTCATTGAAGAGAAAACTAAGACTTAGAGATTAAGTAACTTGCCCAGGGTTTCATAGCAAGGAAATCATAGGGTCAGAATATGTGTGCAAGCCTGTTTGACTCCAGCACATCAGACAGCACGCGAGATAATTTCTGAACAGAAAGAGACTTTGCTCAAAAATTTCACACACCTTAGTCAGGGATGTTAGCCAGTGCCCACAGGTCTGCCTCAGGTGCGTAACTAAAGGGATGAAATGCCTCTCCTTTCCAATGTGGGTCCATGGAGGTTGGCTGTGGTGGTGGACACGGCCCTCTGGCATTGCCATTCAACAGGTGAGCTCCACCAGCTCAGGATCCAGGAACGGGTCAAACATGGAATAACCCGACCTTCAACAGAGGATAACAGTGTGAGTGATGCCCAACTCCTGCTCGCTCATCATGGACGGGGGATAAAGGAGAGGGCAGAAGACCTTGAATGCCAAGGCTCTGTCTCTCAGGGTTCAAAACTTCTACTCAGTGTGAGGAAAAGGATCAAATGAAGGCTTATCGCAGGGAGCAAAGTCGCCTCTGTCTCGGCAGGTCCTAAACAAGCAACCACTGTGCTTCAACCCTGTTACGCGATCTCGTTTATCTCATTTAACCTTCACAACACACCCAAAAGGGAGGGCTTGCTGTCTCCATGGAAATAGAGGTTCAGAAAGGTTTAAAAAACGGGTCTGAGAGTAGACATCTAACAGATGGCAGAGCTGGGTTTGAACGCAGGTCTCTCCAAACCCCAAACCTATGCTCTTCCCATAATTTTACATTGCACCTGTGACCCCACCTTTCAGGCAGCTCAGGGATAAAGAGGCAGCACGCTGGGCACTCAGGCACTCACTTGGCTCAGTGAAGCAAGAACAAACCTAGACCCAACGTGGGTGGGGGAGGCCGGTCAGGATGGAGGAGGACGAGCTCTTCAGGAACTGCACCTCGGGAGCGGAAGGCAAAATTAATGCCCTAGCCTTCTTCGACCTCCCCTGAGGGGGCCTGCACTAGGGCCTCAGCTAGATTCCCCCAGCCTCCAACCTGAGCCATGCTTGGCTTTCAACACAGCAGTTATGACTACTGCACAGTGCCCAGTGCCCCAGGTGGGTACACGTGCTGGTGGAGTTGGGGTGCCCCTGTCAAAGGCTTTGTGGAGCAGCAGCATTGGGGGAGGAGCCTGAAGTGTGCGTAGGCTGTTTCCAGGCCTTCATGGAAATGCAAGGGGGCGATTTCAGGCAGCAGCAGAGGTGCCTGTGGGGAGGGAAGCTCAGCATGCACTTGCAGGAGGGTAAGTGGCCCCCGTGGCTGAATTGAGGCCACAAGCAAGAAAATGATGAGAAACAAAGGAACAATAGGGACCCTGGTGCACAAGGCCTTATCTCAGTGGGAGACTCTAGCTGCTTCTGAATAAGTGGGTATTATGATCAAAGCTACATTTCTCAGAGATTAACCTAGTGGCAACCAGTAAGGTGGGTTGGGAGGGAGTGAGGAAAGGAGCCAAGAGGCTCTATAAGAGCTAATGCTGTGGCCAAGCCTGAGGCAAGACCCTGGCAGCAGGATGGAGAGAAAGGAATGGATGTGAGAAATACTTCATCCCATTCCTGGAAGGCTTCCTGCTCCCTCCTGCCTCAGGGCATTAACATGGCCAGTTTTCTCTGCCTCATCCCACCCATCATCATGATCTCTGCCTATAAGTGATTCTCTGACCCCCCAGACTAGTCCAGGCCCCCGGCATTACACTCTCCTTCATGGCACTTATTGCCACTGCATTTGCCATTTATGTGTGTGTCTGTGTTGAGGAGTCCATCCCTCCAGCCATGCCCACACCGTCCAACCCACCGGTCTGCTCCCAGCTGCTCCCAGCATGATCCAGGCAGACGGCTCTCCCCTGGGCTCTTTCCTTGCTCTTTTCAGCAGCAAATGGTCTAGGGGTTCGTTAGATGCCATGATCACTTGGACAGGTGGTGTGTTCAGGGTGACAGGGAAGGAGGTGGGCAGACTAAAACTGGGAGCTTGTGTAGGGCCCCTGCCCTCACCCCTGTCTCCTGCTCGCCTCTCAGGAAGCTCCTCGCTTCCCGAGCCGCAGCCCGCGGCAGGCTTGCAGAAATAGTCATCATGCTTCCAAAGTGATTGACTTCTGATGAGAGGTTCGGGAGCTTGGGAAGACGCTCCTGGCTTACAGTGTATTGTGAGTAAAAGAAAAGAAATAACAGGTGCTCTTCAAGTGTGGGAGCTGAAAAAGATGCTAATTAAATGTCAGGGCTAGAGTTTAACCCACTTGAGTGTGGTGTTTCTATTCTGGAGTCATCGAGTTTCTCCTCCCCAAACCCGGGCTCCGAAGCACTCAGCCTGGTTCAAAAGCTCACGACAGGAGCCTGGTGGCGTG